GGGGAAGTCCCCTTCGCGAGGAGGCGCAGCGCAGCGGCCCCCGGCCGCGTTCTGCCAAACTGCCAGAGGAGCCGGCCGCATCGCCAAACCTCGGAGCTACCGTTTTATTGTGCAATCTGATTACAGCAAGGTCTGCCAGGGAACAGAACCCATCCCAGCTTTTATGCGCTAAAGATATGAGAGTTTGGCCTAAATTGGTTCTTTCAATGCTTGCAGGAGCGGCAGCCAAGACCTAGGGATCGCACAAAGAGAGACAGTTAACGCAAAAAGAGCTGCCCACATTGGAAGCGGGAGGCCAGGCGGGACAGCAAAGCAGAGATGGAAGGGGACATTGGGGAGGTTTCTCAGAGGAGAGGTGCCTGTGGGGCAGTGAGGTGGCAGGGATGGCCCCGGCTGCTTGTCCTGCCTTGGGGATTTTTCCAGCCGGGCGCCGGCGGCTGCCAGTGAGGGACGAGGCGAGAGCTGCTGCTGCTTGGGATTGCTAAGAACAGGGTTTTCCTGCTGGCACCGCCATGCGAGCGGGGCACCTGCCCGCGCTTCCCCCTGCCTTCCACCACGTCCCTCCTCCGGTGTCCCTGGTGCGGGCCTGGGGTGCTGACAGAGATGTCACGGAGTTCTGGGACGCCTGGGATTTGTCCGCTCCTCCTGTAGCCCAGAGGAGGCTCAGGCTGAGCAAAGGGGACAGGGACGGCCACATCCCCGTGGGATCATCGTCCTGCAGGGCAGCTGCTGGGGTCCCCTGCTCTCAGGAGCTCGGGCACAGAGCAGAGCACCGGGTCCCCGCGCTGCTGGGGAGCCCCACGTCCGTGCTGAGCCGGGGGGGCTCCATGGTCAGGACCTGCCCTTCACAGAGCAGCTCAACAGCAGGAGCAGCCCGAGGGCATGAGAGCAGAAGGCGAGGAAAACCCTATCCCAGGAGGGAGGCTGCAGGGCAGTTTGCTGGCTCTGCCTGTCCCCGTGCTGCAAGGACAACACACGTGGAGGCTGGAGCCAGCCAGCAAACTGCAGGAGCTTTCTGGAGGCCTGGGGCCACCCCATGGGACCGACCCTGCACAGAGGAAGACAGACTTGGGACATCAATTTGACAAGGGGCACGTGATAGCAACCTTGGCTGAAGGCAGAGCTACAGGACCCCTAACAGTGCTGCTGAGCTCCGGGGAGGGAGTGCTGCTCACTGCCAGAGGGAGGCAGAGCCCCTGGAACTCAGGAGAAAGGCCATTCCGCACGCCAGGAGCTCCAGGAGCGGGGCCAGCGTGGCCCGCCGGGCGCCGTTGGTGTGGACCTTGCCGTCCAGTTTGAGACAGCTGGCCTTGGGGGTGGCCGGGCAGCACTCCTGGTAACAGGGCGCCTTCGTTCCGCTCGCACAGACCGGCTTGGCCGTCTTGCAGGCTCTGCTGCAGCCTGCCACGTAGCCCAGACCTGTCTTCTTCATCTGGAAGGAGGAGAGGCGTTAGCCTGCCAGGTCACTGCTCCGCTCCGGCGTTCGCGGAGGGGACGGGCACAGGTGCCAGCCTGGGGACCGCGCTGCCCTGCGAACCCAAGGTGGTACCTCGCAGAAGTCATGCCCAACAGTACATCCAGCAACGGCCTTCTTGCCTTTGAAACATCCCTCCCCGTGGCAGGAGAACGATGCACACAGTTTCCCCTACAAGGGAGGACCAGAGAAGATAATTGTATGTTCACCAGTCCAGAGAACTGGACATCTTAGATGCACTAATCAAAGACTAACAGCTCTCCATCTCCAATTCTGCAGGAAACACTACTGTAACAGCGCCAGAACGGAGAAGTTTCAGGCCTCCTTTTCCTTTGTCTGAACAAAGGCTTCAATTCCTCACCAACCAACCCCTGTCCCCTCTCTACAGCTCCACACAGTCAGGTTAGTCCACTGAACCAACACTGTGGACCCTTCCCGCCCGCGTGGGACCCCGTGCGCAGCCGATACCTACGTTTCGGGCGGGCGCTCCGGGGGGGCGGGCGGTCGCCGGGGCCGGTGTGGTGCTGGGCTGCAGGTCCCCTGCAGCAGACACGGGATTAGGTTTTGCACGACCCGTTGGTGCAGTGGAGCCGGGTCTGCAGCCACGCGGGCCGCCAGCACCCATCAGCAAGGCTGGGCCACCAGCCGAGGCGCGGGGTGACCCTCCATGGGGCTGAGCCAGCCCGTCCCTCCAGCGTGCTCCAAAGCAGCAAAATCCCCAGGGATGGGGAAGCCCGGGGTGCAGCTGCTCTGCAGGGAGGTGTCGGCCCCTTTCCTGGGGGTGCAGCCCCGCGGGACCCCGCGAGGAGTTACCGTAGGAGGTGGCGTTGAGCTGGAGGCAGAGCGGGGAGTCGCAGCAGTCCAGAGCGCACTGCTGCGTGCTCACGCTGCCGTTGGCCCTGCACATCTCCGCGCTGCAGTTGCTGCTGCACCGGGCTGTGTAGTTCGTGCTGGAGAAACGGTAGAGCTGCAATAGCGGAGCCAAAGGAAAAAAACGTTAGAAAAAGCATGAAGAGATGCCATGAAGAAGGAGCAAAAGTAACTCACAGATGGTGATGGAGAGAAGGCAAACAGGAGATTGTAACAGACCTACTAAAATGCTAGGTTTTGTGCTCTGAAGAAGGGGAAACAGACTTGCACTCTCATGACTTAGGTAGCTTAATCTCCATATGAGGAAGAACTTCTTTCCTGTGAGGGTGACAGGGCCCTGGCACAGGCTGCCCAGAGAGGCTGTGGAGGCTCCTTCTCTGGAGATCTTCA